CTCCAGGAGGCCCAGCCAGCTCTGGGTAATACTTATGAAGCTCCTTTACATGCCAATCTCTGGACAACTCCCCAGCACCCTCAGAATTCTCCTCCTCTTGTGGAGATGAGCCAGCTGGGGCTCACAGTAGGAAAGAGCCCAGCAGAGCTAAATGACAGGGGTCTGAGAGCCACCAGCTCTGTGATCCTCACTTCCAGGGAACTCTACCTCCCAGGAGGTGATACAAGGAACTTGGCACAAACAACCCCTACTAGGATGTGGCCAGAGGAGGGTGTGTTTTCAGGAGGAAGAAGTTCAGAGCTGATGGCCCTCGGGCTGGAATGAGAAGATCCCAGGAACTCCACACATCCAGAGGCCCAGAGAGGCAGGCCCTCCTAATTCAAAGTCACCTTTACCATCACCCCCACTGGCCTGCTGGCCTGATAACAGTAAGCAGCTGTCAGCTCTGTGAGGGACTGTGAGGTCCCTCAGGTGATTCTGGGATGGAACAAGGGGACTCTGTCCATACTCAGCTCTGTTCCTGCCTGCACGGGGTCTCAGTTAAGTTTGGAGGAGACTAGGATGATCCAAACATCCAGGGGGAACTGTAACCCAGAACCACTCATCCTGGGATAAACAGCAATCTCTGTCACTTTGTCTATAGCCCATCAAAAAGGGTCAGAGCCAAAAAAGGTCTCAGGCTCTCCTGATCCCTTGGCCTAGATTACAGCAACCAAACACAGGGGTGGGAAGAGGAGCGCTCTGGACTCCGGGAAGCTATAAAGGCTTTTAGTCTCTCTTTTTTTTTCTCCTTTTAGGTGGTTTTTTTTTTTAAATGTAACCTCCCAATATTCTTCACAAGGAGCAGATAAAAGCAGTGGGCCTTCTGGGTATCTCATGATCCTCTCAGCTGGGCTAAGGCTTGGAGCAGGTTCAGGGAAGGGGGCACATTTCCTGTCCTGGAGGTAGTGCTTGGGGTAAGAGGTATAGATGAAAAGAGAATGTGAAGAGCAGGCCTAGTGCTCCCATGGGGTGTATGCCCATGGGACTCATCTGTCTGAGTGGCTTTGATGTAACCGCTAGATCATGGGGGAAACAGCAAATAGTCCCAAGAGGAGGTAACAAATCACACAGGATGCCTTATTGGCTTACCTTGCCCTTAAAAACTGATGTCCCAGGTCATTACCCACAGCCTGCTCGCCTCTTGCAGCACCTCTGGTGCTGGGTCCCCTCTTTCCCAGTGTCTCAGGTCCTGACTTTGGTCTCCCAGCCACTACTGACCAAATCTTTTCCAGCGGTTTCCCCTGGCCTTTCAAATTTGCCATATTCAGTTCAGTCTGTCTGACATTCATACCTTAGGTCTCTTGCACTACAGCTAACATCTACCCAACTTCCCAAGCCAGGCCCTAAAAACCAAACTGCTTGCTTATCCCCTGCCCTACATCCACACCCCAACCGGCACCCTCAAAGCCTTCCTGTAACTTGTCTTACTCTCATTTCATGACCACGTCCTTGTGGCTGTTGTTTCTCTGTGCACATCTTGGTTGGCACCATTACAAGCTCTCTGAGGGCAAGAAGCTTGTGAACTTGCTGTATTGTCTACCCATGGTTAGTGATTAACCATCCTCAGATCCTTCCAGATTGGTCAGGATCACCAATGCTAGAGACCTAAGGGACATCCAGGGAAAAGACCAGAGAGGCCTGGTCTTTTGGGAGTAGATCCTTGGAATTCAAGATAGGAGTCAGCTGGGAGCTGAGACCTCAAAGGTCATACATGCTGCTTCCAAATGTCTTCTGGGGCCAGGAGTGAAAAGAATGCATTCTCAAGGAAGGATGTGCCCCTGGAAGTGATGTGTTATACTGGGAACCTTCAAGGTGAGATAAGATTGGATGAGCTTTGACTCTAGGTCTTTCCAGAAAGATGCTCCCTGGGGCTGGGATGAGACAAGGGGCAGCTCTCCTGCCGAGTCTGGGCCTCAAAAACCTCCCAGAGTGAGGGAAGATATCAGATCACTGCCTCCTCCCCGAGCTTCCTGGGATGGGCAGCCGTTTCCTCTGAGAGGCAGCGGAAATTAACCCATTGTGCAGATGAGGCAGCTGAGGCCAGGGAGGGGGCGCTTTCCGGGGTAACCCAATAACCCAAGGTGATTGAGTAAGCTCAAGATGTCTGGATGGTAGCATATGCTGGGGGAAGTTCTGTCTTCAGTCCCTAGATGTTTCTGGAATAGTCACAGGCCACTCTAATCTCCCTCCCCAAACCTGCTAAGAGTCTAGTATAGCTGCCCTGAGTGGAGCAAGCATGCTAGGCTGATTCCTTTGCTAGTCCAGCATGGTGACCAGCATTTCCTGACTTTCTAATCCCTGAAATAGCAGAAAACCTAAGTAGCAGGACACATTCAAGTTCAAGTCTTGACACTCTTGTCATCCTGCTCTGTGTGAACTGGGCTAGAACTAGTCTTCTAGATTTGATCTCCAAGATGGATAAGAACTTCCCTAAGTGGTAGGCAGACACTAAGAAGGATCAGATCATCTGAGATGCCCATGTAGACTTCCCATGAGGCGTGAGGGACTTAGGTGCTAGTCTGCTTTCCCCTGTGGTAAGGATCATGAAGCAGCCACAATCCCTGGTGCTTTCAGGGCTTAGAGAGAGGGACACTCACAAGGAGGATTTTTCTTTTGGCCTAGTGGGCCAGGAGGTCAAAGAGCGGTCACACCAACTATTTGGTCCCCGCCCTTAGCCTCACCACAGCCCTATTGGAGCCCCTGAGTCAGCCAGATGCTATTGACTGTCATTTCTTTCCATGTATGTAATCTAGGAATACCTGTCTGTATCATGGTCTTGGCTTGATGTCATCTTTCCGAAAGAAAGATATGTATCTGCTCCATAAACTGTATGAACAGGCACTTCAGTTCTGTCCTATGTGGACAGACTTCGGTACCTGTAGGCCCTGTTGCTGGATCATCTCCTCTAATACTGCTTTCCTCCCTCCTTGTCATATTCCAGGGTTCTTGGTCACTGGCCTATTACCTGCTAGGCCCAGAAAGCTTGCCTTCAGCCCTTAGACATGGAAATTCTGGCCCTCAACCTTTCTTCCTTATTAATTCTTGTTGCCTCAGCCATGAGTTCTACCTGCTCTCTAATGGCTTGCCCACCTGACCCCAGAAGAATGTCCAAGGTTATGTCTGACCTCACCAGTCTAGGCTGAATCAGCCTCTGGGGCTCAGAAGCCCCATGAAGAGCTTTTCTCATATTTAATGGGTATCTCCAGAGGCCTGGCACCGTGATCAAATGAGATGACAGGAACTGGGGCTCACACAGATGCATGCATGAAGCATCTTTCTCTTTAAAACACATCTGTGCAAGGGAAGGGGTGACAATGTCCAAAAAGAAATGTACTTTTCACCTGACTTATGTAACTATAATCCCTCTGTACATGACCTTTATTTTTATTTATTTTTTTTTTGGGTCCGGTCGTGGGGCCTGAACTCTGGGCCTGGGTGCTGTCCCTCAGCTCTTCTGCTCAAGGATAACACTCTACCACTTGAGCCATAGCGCCACTTCTGGCTTTTTTCTTTATGCTTATGTGGTACTGAGGAATCAAACCCAGGGCCTCATGCATGCAAGGCAAGCGCTCTACCACTGAGCCACCTTCCCAGCCCCTGTACATGACCTTTACAATAATAATTAAAAAATTTAAAATAAACCCCACCTATGCAGGCAGATGCAAGCAACCACACATACAGAAATGGACACGTGTGCAACTCTAGTCCTGTGGCCTTGAAACTCCTGGCATGGGACAGCTTGAGCCGAATCCCTTGCGCAAGCATCAACTCTTGCTGTCTTCTCCAAAACCCATTGTGAAAACCAAACACTTGTCAGCCCCTCAAGAGCCTGTCCTTTTTTCCAGAAGCAGTTTCTGCTTCCCCTGGAGCTGGAAATGAGTTAGGGCTGGAGCTGTATAGGAAATTAAGCCTGGAATACCTTGCTAGAGAAACTAGAGCCCCCTGTGTCTGGTATGGGACAGCTGTAATGCTGCAGCCAGAGCCCCCCGCCTCCCCCAGCTCCTATCCCTGCTGGGGGTGTACAGATTGTGGTGGTGTTCTTGACTCAAAGTGGCTGACTGCATGACTGAAGGCAGTGAGACTTATGTAGTTCAGAGAAGAGTCACTCCAAAAAGCAGTGTCAGAGCCAGGATTCAAACTTGGGGTCTTGAATTGACCCCTATGAAGGTCCCAACCCAGCTCTAGGGTTGAACATGGCCCTACAAACTAGAGCCGCTTAACATGCTGGCTGAGATCTCACCATGCGAATTAATATGCTGTAGTCTGTCTGGCTGTGCCTATGGGGTCATTCCTTTGACTCACAGGGGTGGGGACCTTGGCTGGGCTGATGATGGCTCTGGGTCCTTGGTGGGGGCCTGCGGGAGCATCACAGGCCATTTGGCTGGACTCTAAGCAGATGATGAGACAGACATGTGAGAGTTTTCCTCACACTCAAATCTCATAGTCATTCAAAGAGAAAGAGGCCAGTGAAGCTGGAATGGACCTCCACAGTGGGAAAAACCTTCCCAAAGGTGATCTGGGAAAACACACTGGATAGGGAGCCTGGGTGTAGGAGTCTGGGTGTCTCCTAAGTCCCTCCCTGGCCACTCCAGGCCCGGAAATCCAAGGTATGCCCAAGGCTGCTCAAAAAGGAGGGAGTAGCCTAGGGCTAGGTCAGACTGCACCAGCAAGGCTAGAGAACACCCTTTCTTTCAAGAAAGAAAGGCAGGTGAGATGCTAGCTAGTTCTTGGAAAGAAGGGCCCATTAATGAAAACCCCTGAACCTGACCACCTAGGGAGAAAGGCTCACCGTTCCCATATGCAGCTGATAAGGGCCAGGAGATTCCGTAGTTCAGGTAGTTCCCCCGCCTCTCTGGAGTTTTGTGGTCATCATTAATCATTTCCTCTAACTGTGTATATAAGAGCCTTTTTGCCAGTGAGCCCAGTAGTCAGAGAGAAAGGCTAAAGTCCTCAGGAGGATGTGGCTGCAGAACTTGCTTCTATTGGGCACTGTGGTCTGCAGCATCTCTGCACCCACCCACCCGCCCAGTCCTGTCACCCGGCCCTGGAAGCATGTAGATGCCATCAAGGAAGCCCTGAGCCTCCTGAACCACAGTAATGACATGCCTGCTGTGATGGTGAGTGAGGGTGGTAATGTGGGCTGTGTCTTGGTCACCAAATTGGCCCTGCTTGTCACTCTGATAACATGACATTTTCCTTCCTACAGAATGAAACAGTACAAGTGGTCTCTGAAGAGTTTGACCCTCAGGTAAGATGTTCCTCTTTAAACACCTTTTCCAGATGCCTCTGCCCTGGACCCTCATAGGGCTATCCACTTTCTTTCCAATCAACTGGCTGCCAGGAAGAGAGAGGTGGTATCTGGGTGCTCAAGAGGCCACTGTGGCAGTCACGTGGATTCCTTTATCAGCTCAGCCGCCAAGGATAGACATAGTGCATTCAAAGGCTTGAAGTTAGCAAGTCACTTGATAAGAGGGGCCTGGGGACTTGAGGATACTCATGCTCTGAGACCAAGCCCCATGGAGACAGGATGCTGGCTATAGAGGGGCCTAGAGGGGCTTCAGGAACAATGCTTACTCATGAAGTAGAGGACAGGTACCCTGCTTAGTCCCTTCTCCTAGAATAGTAAAGTGGTGTGTGTGTGTGTGTGTGTGTGTGTGTGTGTGTGTGTGTGTGTGTGTGTGTGTGTGTGTGTGTGTGTGTGTGTGTGTGTGTGTGTGTGTGTGTGTGTGTGTGTGTGTGTGTGTGTGTGTGTGTGTGTGTGTGTGTGTGTGTGTGTGTGTGTGTGTGTGTGTGTGTCGTGGGGCTTGAACTCTTCGGCCTGGGTGCTGTCCCTCAGCTCTTCAGCTCAAGGTAAGTGCTCTACCACTTGAGCCAGAGTATCATTTCTGGTTTCTGGTGGTTATTTGGAGATAAAAAGTCTCACAGGCTTTCCTGCCCCGGCTGGCTTTGAAGATCTCAGCCTCCTTAATAGCTAGGATTGCAGGTATAAGCCACTAGTGCCTGGCTTTTTTTTTTTTTTTTAACATGGGAACCTTCTCCAGGTACCAGGCTAAGGGAATGTGTCTATGCCAGCTTAGGGCATCCTGAGACAGGCAGAGAACAGCTGAATGCTTATGTTAGTCAGATTAAAGCGTATGACCAGACCCAGCCTCAGTCTAGTCAGGAATCAGGCTGTGTCTCTTTGTGGCCTTACTCTTGGGGGACAGGTAATGGGAGCAGAAGAGAAGATTGGAAGGGTAGCTGATGCCCACTGAGGACACCTGTTCTCTGCTAAGTGGATCATGAATACTTCCTATAGGAGCCAACATGCCTGCAGACTCGCCTGGAGCTGTACAAGCAGGGTCTGCGCGGCAGCCTCACCAAGCTCAAAGGCCCTTTGACGATGATTGCCAGCCACTACAAGCACCACTGTCCCCCAACCCCGGTGAGTGCCCACAGCCGAGCCCCAAGCAGGAAGGTAATAGCCTGGAAGCGTAGGGACTTGGTGAGGAGAGAAACTCCTGGCTGTAGCTGCTCAGGACCAGGAAAAGTAGCTTTGTTATGATATGTAATAATGAGCAGCAGAATGGAGAAACCTCCAACCCCTTTCCCAGCCTTAAGAATTTAACACTGCAGAGCTCTGAAGCTCACAATGCTCTCTAAGCAGGAACTGCTGCCATCCTTGTTATTCTGGTCATTCTCACCAATGAGATCAGAGCTGAGGCAAATCCCAGGAAACTCAGGGCCTGCCTGAAGTCCAAAGGAAGCATCACCTCCTGTCAGGACTTTCCCATGGGGTGCCTAGATGGCATAAAAGCAAGAAAGGGGCCCCTGGAATGGACAAAGGTCTCAAACCCCTCTTTCTTTCTCCAGGAAGAAAGTGAAATCCATGGCCTTCTGGGGGCTGGGAGAAAGATGGCCTTAGATTGTCTCAGGACAGTATAGCCACTGTCACTTCACACACACACACACACCCCAATGGGCTTTCTGTCCTCTGAGTTCTCAAAGGCTACAAAGAAATGTACTGCTGCTTCTCTATGTTATCCATCCACTTGGACTTAAGTGTTTTGTTCTGTTTTTTTTTTTCTTTTATTTTTTCTTAAGGAAACTTCCTGTATGACCCAGTTTATAACCTTCAAATATTTCAAAGAGAACCTGAAGGGCTTTCTGTTTGACATCCCCTTTGACTGCTGGGACTGAGTCCAGAAGTAAGGCAGCCCATCCAGCCCAACATGCAACCTCACAGACTGCTGCTTTCTCTCCCCAAATGAGCCACAACTCATGATTTCTGTCTTAGAGGGACCAATGGCTGGGCCACAGCCACACTAAGGGAGGATAGGGGGATGGCATGGACCTGCCCTGGACCATACATGTCCCTAATATGGACATGACGGTAGAGTGGGAGGTTATTTTATAGTAATATTTATTTATATATTTATATTTATATTTATTTATTTAATTGTGTGGTCTGTATTTATTTAAGATGTTTTACTGTAATAATAAATTATTTCAAGTATTCTTTGATTTGTGCAGTTTTCTGGCTTATTTTCAGAGGGGAAGAAGCAGGGAGGGGGAAGGGAGAACTGAGGGTCCCGTGGTGTCCTGTATTGTTGATGGGCAACGCTGCCAGAGCCAAAGGGAGACAAGAGTGGAAGTTGGGTGCAACTCAAGGGCTCCCACCCCAGAAAGTGAGTTTCAGGTTCACTTGAAAGTCCAAGCAACCAATTGAGGAAATCTTGCCCTAGAGAAGAACCATCATCCTTCCTTGGGCAGCCTGGGGCTGCTGGTATTGACTGGTAGATGTCTGAATAGGCCTGCCCTGGTGTTAGGCAAAACCCCTTATGCTCAGAGCTTCAACAACTCTCAAGGTAAATCAGCAAACAGACAGCTGTTCAGGGAAAAAGAAACTAAACCACAGGGGTCAGAGCTCAGCAAATTTACCCAACTTTCCCCAAAATAGGTGATCTTAATCTTTTAGAGGCAGTATATAAGTCCAGAGTATGCTGGAACATGACTGTAGGGTAGCATATTTCTGAAATGGTTTCTATTTTTAGATGACGTTTTAATCTAATACATGCTTTCTCCCTAAATCTACTGCCTTTGGGCTGAGAGAGAAAAGAAGTGCTCTTTCCTCCTTGCTTGACAGGCAAGCTGAAAGCTGTATTCTGAATCTCTTCCCCTGTGTCCCTTCTGGGAACTCTGAGGAAATGTGTTCCCATACCTTTCTTCATACAGGTGGGCTGGGGGCAGATGGCACTCAGAAGTTGTACACTGAACAAGTGTACCTACCATCCCTAGACCACCTCTGCTCCAGAGTGCAACTGCAGACAGCTCCAATTCTAGCCAGACACCTGACCCACTCAGGCAGGAAGGTTACCACTCCACATATGATCACAAGTAGTCTTACAGTAAGCCTAAGTTTCAGCACAGACAAGGATCCATACTGGGATGGTCATTGATAATGCTTGAAAAGCACATTTTGCCCAGTGATAAGGTCCTCTCTGTCTTCCTTGGAAGCCATAGACTGACAAGAGGTTTGCATTTCCTTAGACCCTTACCCTCTTCCCAAAGAAATTCTGTCAAGTCTACATTTAAGTGGCTGACAACCCTATTGAGTAGTATGTGCTCCTGGGTCTTGTGCTCTGGGATCAGAAAGCTATTCTGTCCAGATAAAGGTAGCTACTGTGGCTTTCCAGAAAAATCATACCTCACTCTATGATGAAGTGCCTGTGGCACTTCATGCTTCTGACCAAATTCTCTTGCTTGAAGGGTGACTTTAGCAGACCCCAGAACACCAGTGAGGTAAAGAACACCTACTCCCTTGCCTCTTTCTGATCACATTCAAACAGGGAGAGAGCGTTTGCCTCAGCAATCTCTGAACGATGAGAACGAGGGATGCTGGAGACTTTGAGAACTTGAGGGCAGAACCTCCAGCTCAGCCAATAGATGAGCTTTGCCAGTTCCTCTGACTACTTCCCTAAGGGCAATCCTGAACCTCCCCGGGGAGTATGTAGGAGTGGCAAGATACCCACTGTCTCTACTGCAGTGCCACTAGTCCAGGGCTCCATCAGGACAGAGTGACCAGGGATGGATGAGGTGAGGGGTCAGCTGATACTAATATTGCTATGTACCTCCACAATTGCTATAGGTTTACCAATTTTCCTGCACCACCTCCACTCTGAAGAATATTTCAGAAAAATACAACAAACAGAATCCACACATAACAAGGGTTTTGTAAGGACATGAAGGAGCCCACAGAAATTTGCACAAAGCTGGAAGTAAGTGGCTATTTGCTGTTAGGGCAACCTGGGGCTTCATTACCCTGCAACATAGCCAGGGCCCAGTGGGGACAAAGTGCTTCATATGGCCACCTGTGAGGCTTCAAGGAATATTCTTGGACCATGCAAACAACTTTTTTTTTTGCTGGGGGGGGGGTGGGGGTGGGGGGGATTGTCTCAAAGCTCAAAGCAATCCACTCATGACAGGGGATGGAGGATGGGCAGAGGAGGACTGTACATTCACCTGTACATTTAAGGGTAGTGCTGTGTGTTCTTAGCCACCTCCCTCACCTCCTATGGTCAGTGTAGAGCAGGTCTGAGTCAAATTAACACAGGCTGGCCATGGGCTGAAGGGGAGGGCCTCTCAGTGCCGATTCTCCATTCACTGGGCAGCCAGTCTGGGCCAGTTTGTTGTATACTTGGGGCCTCTTCTGCTATGAGAAGCTTCATTAGAGTCCATGATGTGGGGATGGGCTGCAGTATAGGAGAGCATGTCTGGGGAAATGACTGAGTTGTTCTTTCCCTTTGCCCCTAGCTTGCAGGGCCCACTGGGTACTCCCACCCTATTGTACTGATGACCTGGTCCTGAAAAGCTATGGGATTTGCCTAAACCCTGCTGGCTTCCTCTGGTGGCTGTCGATGGTCCTCTGACTCTGGGCCACACTTTTTCCAGGTGGCCTCCATTGCTCTTGTTCTGTTCATGAAGAGGAGTGAAGGGGAGAAAACCTCTAAGGGTTACCCAACTCCCCAGATCTAGCTGGGAGGTAGAAGGTTTATTTGTGTTTACTTTTTTTTTTGTCAGTCATGGAGCTTGAACTCTGGGCCTGTGCGCTGCTCCTGAGCTCTTCAGTTTAAAGCTAGCACTCTACCACTTGAACTATAATGCCACTTCCAGTTTTCTGGTGGTTATTTGGAGATAAAGAGTCTCATGGGCTTTTCTGCCTGGACTTGTTTTGAACTGTGATCCTCAGATCTCAGACTCTGGAGTAATTAGGATTACAGGCGTGAGCCAGCAGTGCCCGGCTTATTTGTAATTTACTTTTTATAAGAGTTTATGGGCTGGGAAGGTGGCTCAGTGGTAGAGTGCTTGCCTTGCATGCCTGAGGCCCTGAGTTTGACTCCTCAGCACCACATAAGCAAAAAGAAAAAAGCCGGAAGTGGCGCTGTGGCTCAAGTGGTAGAGTGCTAGCCTTGAGCTGAAGAGCTGAGGGACAGTGCCCAGGCCCAGAGTTCAGGCCCCACAACCGGACCCCCCCCCAAAAAAAAAGAGTTTAACATGTGCTTAACATGTTTCTTATTTAGCCAACACAGTCCAAGAGCTGTCCTATTGAGCAAAGTGATTTCTCCAAGTTCAAGGAACCCTACTGCATGGTTGGTGGGAGTATAAACTTGTTCAACCACTTTGGAAAGTAGTATGGAGGTTCCTCAAAAGACTATGACCTAGCAATTCCACTTTGGGGCATTTACCCAAATGATCACAAACAAGACCATACTAAAGCTACCAGCACAACTATGTTTATTGCAGCATTATTTACCATAGCTAAGATATGGAACCAACCCAGATGCCCCTCAGTAGATGAATGGATCAAGAAAATGTGGCATATATACACAATGGAATTCTATGCCTCCATCAGAAAGAATGACATTGACCCATTTGTTAGGAAATGGAAAGACTTGGAAAAAATTATATTAAGTGAAGTAAGCCAGGCACAAAGAAAGATAGGTCCCATGGTTTTCCTTATTTGCAATAACTAGTACATGTCTGAGACAAGCAGAAATGGTCAGATAAGTTGATGTTAGAAGAAATGAACACCAAGATAAGGACTCAAATGGTTTTTCTTTCTTGCTACTGTTTCTACATATTTATAAGATGATTTTTTGTTGCTTTGTTATGTCTGTCCCCCCCCCCTGTTTTCACTGTATTTGATGTTGGTATAATTTGTGGAGGGGAAGGGAAAAAACAAATTGTTTAAATAGGGATACAGGTGGATCCATTGCAATGATGAGACATACAAGTCGTTATGTCGAAAACGAACTTTACAACTTTGGCTGGGGGGGAGTGGACAGGGGGGAAGACGGGAGGGCAGGGATAGTAAAGGGAAACAAAGGAGGAGGCAATAATGCTGATAAGAAATGTACTCATTACCTTTCTCATGTAATTGTAACCCCTCTGCACAGTATTTTCACAATAAAAAAAAAGTTTAAAAAAAAGTATCATCACATCCATAGAAGGATGGAAATCAGGCCAGAAGATCAATGGGAAGTCTTTGGGGCTCTGTCTTTTCCTAAAAATAGAGATGCAGGTAATGATTGGAGAAGACTTGGAAAATACTTTACTGTCTGGGGGGTGGGGGTTGAGTTTGCTGAAGACAAGGCTGTCAGGTTAGGTGGGTACCTGAGAGTGGTACCTGAGGACATATGTGGCTGACAAATTAGCTGGGGCCCCATGGGCTAAGAAAGAAAGAGAGGGGGTTCTAGCAATCTTCTGACCTGGAGGCCCAAGGGTCTTCTTGGAGAGGTCTTTGGCCTTGAGGGGGCTGGTAGGGATCCACCCCATCTTTCCCTTGCTACATCTCCGGCCTTGGGCACACAAGAGGAGTTCCATCCTGCCTGACTCCCTCCTCCAGAACTCTGTTGGATCTTTCCCAGTTCCCCTCCCCGAAGCACCAAACACAGCTCAAAACTTCTCTTTGCTCTTAGCTGAAGTTCCTGGGGAGCTCTAACCATAATCTGTCCTCACCCACCCTTTGGGCTCAGTTTAGAACCAGAAATGTCAGTCTCAGTAAAGGACTCAGAGCAGGGGCTTTCAGGTCACCCCTAGAGGACTGAGTATAGTGTGGGACTTGTGCAGGAGGGGTGTTCACAGAACCCAGGGACATCCTCTAGCCCCTTGCTCCATCTGTCATCAACAAAGGGTTATCT